CTCTTAACATAAGAGAAAGCATTTGCGGCGTTATGCAAGTCTCCATATTGGGTCTCATTTTGCTTAGCATTTTCATGTCACATACGGCTATAGCCACAAACACAGAATACGTCATATGTAAAAGAAGAAAGAAAGAAAACGAAATACGAAAGCATACAATAATCTTCCCTAAGGACTGTAGATTCCTCCTCTACATATCCAACGTTCCCGCCATATTCGAAATGTAATTTTCATTCGTCAACTTATCGTACAATAGATTTAATCCTTTCCAACAACAAATGCTTCATTTCCAAACAATGTTCTACTTTCTTAATACTGTCCGCTTATGCTCAATAGCAAGACAGTTAAGTACTTTTGCTAACAAATTTAAGCCGAAAGGGATTCCGTAGTCGCATTGTTATGATCAACTAATACACTAAACTAAACTAAATCACTACGTCTTGAGATTTGTCCCACAAAAAATGTCCCACAAATCAATCGCGAAGATTTTCACTGTTCAATATATGCAATTCACTTCGTCTACCCCAGCGGTGTAGAGATATTAAAAGCTGTATGTGAATCTATTTTTTTATACCCATCGCCGAAGGACGCGAGATGTATTCAGTTTGTGAAAACGTTTGCAACGTTCAGGAGGAAACTTCAGAGAGCCGACAAAGCAAATGCATTCTTGATCAGAATCAAATTCTGAAGCGAACTAAGCATGTCCGCCAGTCTGTCTGTGTAATGTCAGCTGTAAACATTCTCCTGGCTATCATCTTCAAATTTGGCAGAAACATTAGAAGCCCTTGTACGCTGGTTGGTACTGGAAGAAAGCTAAAACCATCCCTGTTTCTCGAAAGGGAGAGCAAATTGCACTTTTTTCCCGTTATTCATACTCTATAGTAGAGAAATGTGCAAAGATCAAGTCGAAGCATATTCTATGAGCGATGCTGTAGCACATGTACAAGTTTGAAAAAAATTGACCACGCCTGCCCAATATGATAATGTATCAAAATGTATTTTTTTTTTGCAATACCTTCATAAGGCGCAGAAAAAAGCTTCAAGAACGGGATAAAGTATACAAATTCTTGGCCAGTTTCAAATTTCGAATGCAACAAAAGCATGTTCGCCTGTTTCTCCGCTTAAATTTGTAGTATCTGAACAGTGGTGAACATTCTCCCGTTAGCGAATGTGGATATATTACCTGCACATTTGGAAGTGACCTAAACTTTTCATAGGACACACCTATAACGCGCACAACCGCATTCGGCAAAAGCTTTTATTTTGAAGATAGAAAAGATCGGCCGCGCCCACTCCATATTGTAGAGCATAAAAATTTGGTTCTTTTACTTAAGCAACTTTGTGCTTATGACAACATAAGTATCGTCAATTGAAGGTTCACGAATTATTATGCCCATCAGCGTCATCATCATCATCATCATCATCATCATCGTCATCGCCAACCTTATCATTGTACGTTGCCTAAACTCGCTCAACTGCCCTATTCATAGTAATTCTATTCCGAGTGTCGACTAAACGAGAAATGAATGAATTCACTGTAGAAACATTAGAAGCGAATGAATCTTTTTTAGGCTTATCAATACATCCATGCATAATTCATTGACTATGAAGGAGATATTCAAATAAGATATTTCAAGTGAATAAGTTCGCTAAAAAGCAACTAATGGAAAGGAATTGGGTAAGTATTCAACTTAATCCTTTAATGTACATGTGACGAAACTCTATGGATCTGAATATGTTATATTGAATGTATATGAATAGAAGGCTTAATACTTTTAAGACAGCTTCATATTATTCCAATATATGTTCAACACGAGCCCCTTTCTCCGTCTTTCATGTGCGACCGCATTGCTTACCCAAGCCATAGTGTTTAATAAGCATAAGAAGAAGACCTGATAATCTTGAATGCAGTGTGCACTAAAAAAAAAGGAAAGATGGCTTCGTCTTCCCCTAAAAATTGTAATATAACTCCCGTCCCGTATAGCACAGTCAAGTGGGTTAATATTCCTAAATCGTGACTGCAATGAACGAATATTTGTAAAGGAAAAAAATCGATGTTTTTTTTGAACATTTAAAGGGACGCACTTCAACGATACAATTCTAAGTTACTGTGAAAGTATTCGATGCCAGGCGAGCAGTCTTGACTACACTATGACAATGCCAAGATTACATCATTATTTGGTAGTGGATAATGATTGCGGTAGGAAAAGTAGGCTCAGTCAACCTTTGTGATTTAAGTTATCATCAAACAAGTGCGAGGCATTACTAGGCCGCGCTAAGCGATTTATTTTACCTATAACTTATTGTCAATATATCATAAGTTAATACATATTTCCAAAATGTTTTTCTTGCACTTCAATCTTGGAAAATTTATTCCGTAATTATGAAGCAGCAGAGTCCGAACTCAAAGGCGAGGCAGCGCCAAGTTCAACATTCAATATTGGATAACCATACTGTAACGTTCACGTGCCAATAAAACGAGTACAGAATAGATACGGATTACGGAATATTAAAGCCAAACCAGCATTTACAAAACTAGAAGTTGATGATCAAATTCCTCAGTCGCCTGTGCTTAGTTCCGATAGCTTATGTGCTGTACCGGAAGATTTTTTAGTTATTTTCGTTTGCCGTTGTCCTGCGCTTTCCTTCTACTGGCAACCCGATTTTTCCTGTGGCCATTCCGATATCAACCTATCGATATGGCTTCTTGGTTGCGGACCTATCATAGGCACTAAGGCAAAGCCTGTTAGTCAGACAGTCTGTGCTTCGTTGCTTACAATACCCGAAGGGCCAGGCACCCGTTCATATTACATGCACGTCATTGTGCTTGTCCAAGTTATGCGAGACTTGCAGGTACTCCAACACGAGCATAGATGTTAGTGTTAGCCGTTTCGGGGCCTTGTCTTGTAATAGGAAAGAAAAAGAGGGAGCGTTACGATATAACAAGGCGTCATTTGCTCCACATTTGGGATAATGGCCATTTGCGCTGATAAGTTTCCTAATCTCATAAATTTCATGGAAAGAAGAAGGCATACAAATAATCGCTATAGTGATCGAAAATTTCAAAGTTAGTTAAGTTAGTTTTCAGTGTTGCATAACTGACTGTATATGAAATAAAAATTAGTTTTTTGTTTAAGTCTTTTAGTTTCTTCTTTTTTCTTTTTTTTTTTTAATTCGAAACAATTCTTTGTCTATTAAATTAAAGTTGAAATATATATGTAATAAAAGTATAAAAGTTCACTAATTAATGAATTATTTGCTAGAAAACTTTATTGCATGACATAGATTTGACAATATCATTGGGTTACAGCTTAGTAGTTATAAAGTCAACCCTTAATCTCTTATATGACCTACAGTTTTGATAATCTCAGCGATAAAGAATTTTCCAGATCTGTTATAAGACTAATATACCGAGCTCTCACTGCCTGGCTTAGATTCGTTGTTTTTCTTTTTTTAGTTTTTATAGTTTTTTTTGTTGTTGTTGTTGTTTTTTTTTTTTTTTTTTTGTTTTATGTTCTTTGTACCTAATGGTGGCTAAGAGTGCTACACAAAAGTAACGGTTTCAAGTTCTAAACAAAAGCAGAGAAAAATAAGTAACAAAATCTTTTTGTATCCAACAATAGAAAGCAAAAACTTGTACATATATACAGGAACGCTACTAAAGTTAAGGGCGCTTATCTGATTTTAATGTAAATTAAAATAAATGCCTGTTGGCCGCATTATTATTATTATTATTATTATTATGATTATTCTATATATGACGCAGAGAAACCTTTATAGTATATTGATCATGGGCGTAGAATTCTGAATGTATTTAACTACGGCCATCAGTTCTTTTCTTTGTTCTCTTATATGTATTTGGCGTTTTCGCGACCTTTCTCCCTTTGCCGGTCTGCGCAAATGTTACGTGCACCGCTTGGTCTGTCGATACGATTACATTAACACTGTCTCGCAGAACTGCTAATATCGTCTTCTTGTCATTCTCCAGCACGAATAGCACTGTTAAAGGCCTTGGAATTATTTAAAAGCCAAAAAAGGGTATCATGCGTACATGTTTTAATTAATCACGCGGGAATTTTCGTAAAATTTGTATTGTTAGTTGTAAGCGGTTGTAGATTAATAGGCCCTGTTCTTGCATTGTTTTAGTTACGGGGTCCTGATTATAAAAGCAGTGTGTCTCATGTGTTTACCAACTTAAATCTAACAGCACCCAAAAACCAACCAAGCCGTGCGAGTAATCATTTAAATCACTTACCTCTGTATACCATAAAGCAAAAAAAAAAAAGAAGAAAAAAAGACATTTAATATTATAGAAGAAATGAAAAAAAAAATAAAGGAAAAGAAAAAACAAAAGGAAACCAACTGTTTTAAACGATCTCTTCTTTCTCCTAACACTAAGCAGTTAATACACTTTACTCTTCACCTTGAAACGTTGTATCAACGTTGTAGTCAGTATTTGAGAATTTATCTCCTCAAAGCGTTTAGGCTAAATTATAAAGTATTCAGGTGAGAGAAAACGTATATGAGTGCATTTTGAAATTTGTGTACCTGTGTGCCTATGTGTACGTATATATAACTGTGTGTTTGTCTGTTTGTATATGAATTTGTAAGCCCACATTTTTGCAACGTTAGTTGGTTGGCTCGTTCAATAAGTCTAAAACGTAAAGATCACTTGGGTCAAATTAGAGTACGAATGATGTTGAGGTGAGTTTATTAGGTTTTTTGTATACTACACACACTACGTGTGGAGATTCTCAAACGATGATGTTTAACGGCGAACTCGTTGGTTAAAATACACATATATATATATATATATATATATATATATATATATATAGACGCGCATACTATGAAAAGTCTCCAAACATTTTAACTGTACGCCGTGATTGTGATACGAATGCATGTAGGTTTGTAAAAATATGTGTGGGGAGCGTTATATTAAGCCTTAGCTAACCTAAGCTTATAACGTTTGCTAAGTGTGGAGGCAACAGGTATGCCAACCATAACTCTGACTTTGTCTCTGAACGCAAAACTTTAGTCGTGAGGTGGTAACTGAACAGAACGGGTAACGAATATCGCAAAGGTAAACAATAAATAAATAAAACATTAAAAGAAAAGAGTACGCGTCTATTATATCCATCCACATAATCTGCATATAAAAATATATACAAATTTTGTTTCATATCTAAAAGCAGTTACAAAACGAGAACTTTAAATATGATTACGAAAAACAAAAAAAAAAATTAAAAAATTATTAATTAATGGAAAATTAAATAAATAAATAAAAGTAAAATATAAAATTAATATAAAATTTATTATTAAAAAATTAAATAGAAGTTTTCAACTTTTAAAAACTGGAATCGCTTTAAAAATTGCACAAACGCTGATCTAATGCTTTTAAGCTTTCCATGAGTTTGCATCGAGATATGTCGTTGTATTCACTCAGAGAGGAAAAGTTTAGCAATATCTTTATCGAAGCAAAACTTTTTTTTTTGTTTTTTTTTTTTTTTGCAAGCCTTTGTGAATTTTAAATGAAAGGTTGGAAAAGAAAAAAAATAATAATAATAAGAAAAAATTAATAAATATTTATACATTTGAGGAAGGAAAAAAAACTTTAAAAAGATTTATGAAAACTAGAACTAGTGAATGAAGGTCATCGACGGAAGTTTAAAAAAAAATAATAATAATAATAATAATAATAATATTAATATGCTTGTTATATAACGAATTAAAAAGCAAAGCAAAAAAAAAAAAAAACCGAAACAAATTTTGAAAAATTCTATTTTGATTTTCCGTAATTTATATTTTATTAAACTAAAACACAATTGAGACCCTCAAGTATTCATTGACGAATCAATATTCACTATCCGTTACGTTTAAATAATCTATAGTAGACGGCACGCATACAAAGCACGCTTGAGATTAAAAAGCCCTAACGAACTTTCAAACTAGATCATGGCCAGCTATGATGCAGTAAGGCTCACATAGATCTATTTTGATGCAAAGTTTCCTAGAGAGAGAAAGAGAGAGAAAGAGTAGTTGGAAAAAGATCAATTGATAAGAACGTTCGCCAACAGTGACGACGAAGAAGGGG